CGCGCGACGTTGATTTATCATTTGGCTGGCAAAAGGAAGCGAACCGTCGTTGGCCAACCTCCTGTCTTTCCGCCCTTATCAATCACTGGCACGCTAATCGTGCTTCTCATTGTCCTTGCATAACGTTCGCCTTCGGCCTAGCAAACGAGTCACCCAATCTTTCGATTTCTCGTTACGCGAATAATTCAGCGGGACCGTAATGGCGTCGCGATCTGCGAGGATCGCGATGGTGTCCGATCGTGTCGGTCTGTTGCAACGATCAGGCGAATTAGAATAGTTGGCGGTGGAAGATAAAAGGCAGCGTGTAGGCGAGCAGAAGTATTCTTATAACTGGAGCAAGCGCAGCAATGCAAGGTGCAACGGAATAGTTGAGATACTCCTGGTGTAATGGCATCGCAGTGCATGAACCGGTGGCTCCGATCGCGTTGCGTTGGAAATTTAATCGTTCCGACGCTTGTCGAGTTCGATTGGCGAAACATTAACAACGCGAGCTAAGTATTAGCTGGAATGCGGCGTTCAGAGAATAAAGTACGGGAAAATTTGCTTCGTGTACAGCAATTAGATGGCAACGAAAAAGTAATTTGTAGGGAGTCGATGAATAAGAAAATTGGATTTATTCGTCTCACTCCGAGATTTATCTGGAAACTTCAATGGTAGAAATCATTGTAACTCACGTATGCAGAATTATGATGATATTTTCAACTCGGATATTATATTTGATTAATTATACTGTACCGAAGAATCAATATTTTTTAAATTTCTTACTCTTATAATTGGTGTATTGCGATTTAATGTCGAAATTTTTCTATGACTGTATATTTGCGACACACACTGAGTGATTCATTGAAGAATTTCACTGAAACTCCATATTTAATTAGTATGGAATATTATATGAATTATATATTATTAAATAATTCAATTTTTAAAATTATTTTTATTCTTATAATTAATGAATTCCAATGTATTCTTCTTATCGTTAAATTATTATCCATTTGTGAGTAATTAAGGTACTCAAATTAATTCAATGAACACAGTGAGTGAAGTTCCATACTCAGTTCGTATATATTATCACGTTAATTATATACCTAGTATTAAATAAGAAAATTTTAAACTAATGGGTGTCCCAAAATTCACGCAAGAATTGTAAATATTGCTCAACAGCGAAGACGCGTCGTTCTTCCAAAGAGCTCTCCACTTGGAATAACCCTGAACTGTACGCTGTCACGCTATATATTCTCCTTTTCTTGATCAACACTTTGTCACGCAAATGGCGCCAAATTCAAATCTTGCATGAATTTTGGGACACTATAATTTCTATTTTAAATACTTTGTATAAAATAAGTACCCATTTGTAAGTAATCACGAATACTTAGTTGTGTATATTACCACGTTAAGCATATACTTAGTATTAAATAAGAAAATTTAAAAATAATGGGTGCCAGAAAATTCACGCAAGAATTGTAAATATTGCTCAACAGCGAAGACGCGTTGTTCTTCCAAAAAGCCCTCCATTTTGAATAACCCTGAACTGTACGCTGTCACGCTATATTTTCCTTTTCGTAGTCAACACTTTGTCACACAAATGGCGCCAAATTTAAATCTTGCGTGAATTTTGGGACAATATATAATCTATAATTTCTACTTTAAATGTTTTCTATAAAATAAATACCCATTGGTAAATAATCACGACCTTCCAATTAACGCAATTGATCTCATTCCTCGTAATAAAAATTAAAAACCACGCTACATAGTCAATTCGCATATAAAATTATATAAATTACACGATATTAAATATCAAGCTAAAAAGAGGCCCTTTATTCTTACAACAAATACACATCCAGAGCCACCCTTCTTACCGTTAAATTGCAGCGTATTCGCGAGTAATCACGGAATTCGAATTAATTCGATTGATCTGATTTCGCGTAAGAAAAGTGGAGAGCGAGGCCGCTCGTTCGCGGTTCGTCGCAAGAAGAAACGAATTTCTCGAATTCATCGGTTCGTCGCCGGTTTTTATCATATTCTATTAAACCGATACTCGGAATTTACGAGACAATTACAAGCTGGCTTTCGTTTGTGATCGTGACCGACCGGGCCTGTCGGCCCGGCTGAAAGAACGAAGCAAGCCTGTATTGAGATCGTGGGCCGGCGCAGGGACAGCAGGAAAGAAGTAAAGATTTTATCTCACGCAGCTGATCACCACTCTCGCTTTGGTCGAGAGCCAAGGGAACGATTCCTTCCGTCCCTTCTTTTTTCCCCTCTCTTCTTCATCCTTCCCTCGGTGTCGACCGGCTTTCGTGGCGAGAAACACCACGGATTTGCATGCGATCAGTTACCGATTAAGCCCGATAGAATCGGCTGCTACTTCGCGCCGAATCGATGGCCGCTGGCTGCCTCCGACCAACCTCCAATGGGGGACTAAACATCGCAGGATACTGGAATGCCAGTTCTTTTAAGAAAATTGCCAGAGGATCGTTACAGAGAAGCGAGGAACTAGGTCCCAAGCCGATGATATATTCTTCTGACATATTTTTCAGTTCGAGAATTTCGATTCTGGATTATTCGGTTACTTCTGCAATCAGAATTGGACCTGGTTACTCTTACGCGCAGAGTATGATGAAGATTGTCATACGTGGAGAAGTGAAATATAAATATAATTATAATTATAATAACTGTATAATAACTGTATAAGTATAAATAAAAATATAAATAGGAGTAGAGTCTGCACGAATTTTTTGGTATATTTGTTATTATAATAGTTGAAATGTTAGACAGATGAAATGGTGACTTTTGGAGTCTGGAATACTACTGTTCCTGAAGAAGTAGGATTAACTCTATCGTTGAATGCACCAAAATTTGTTTGAATTAAATCTTCCAATTCTGACTAACAATTTGTTACTTAACGTTATCGCTTTCATCTTCGCTTTAGACTTGACTCCTGACTTGTATTACAGTACAACTAGATGTAATAAATTTTTGAATATTAGTTTCCCTCCCTGTTCCATTTTCTCTGAGATTTGTACAATATTCTAGCCTTCTTCTAGTAGGAGTAAATCTATCATTGAATGCACCAAAATTTGTTTAAATTAAATCTTCCACTTCTGATTAAAAATTTGGTACTCGATGCTATCGCTTTAATCTTGGCTTTAAACTTGACTCCTAACTTATATTATAGTAAAACTAGGTGTAACAAAATTTTTTAACATTAGTTTCCCTCCCTGTTCCATTTCCTCTGAGATTTATACAATATTCTAGCCTTCTTCTAGTAGGATTAAATCTATCATTGAATGCACCAAAATTTGTTTAAATTAAATCTTCCACTTCTGATTTAAAATTTGGTAATCAATGCTATCGCTTTAATCTTGGCTTCAGACTTGACTCCTAACTTGTATTACAATACACCTACGCCTAATAAATTGTTTTGATATCAGTCTCACTCTTTCTTCCACTTTCCCTGAGATTTACACAATATTCTAGCCTCCGTCTACCACTTTGTCCTACCATAAGTTGTAATAAGCGTGCAATGGAACAGCATAAGATCAGTATGCCAGTACAAAGGAGTACAATCTAATCATCCATCCTCTCTAACATCCCACCATCACCTACTCACCTTCAAAAGCTACCAGCAAAAGCCAGCACCTCTATCCTCTGTCGTTTCCCCAATTAAAACGCAGCTCGAAGCCAACAATCGCCTAAACAAATTGCCACGTCCGCAGTGGCAAGAATAGACTGAACCCAGAACGCGTCTCACGATGCTTGGTCCAGAGAGTTCGAGGGCTAGATCAAAAGGAAGAGCTGATTGGCAAAGAGCAATCATCCTATCTGCATCTCGATCGGGGGCCGACCGTTTCGCATCGATCAGCGCTGCTCGTTAAGGTATCCGCGATCGAAAAACGAATAGCCGGAGTCGGTGATGGAGGAAGAGAGACGACGTAGGTCTGGGGGAGGCAGGAAATCGGCCGGTCGTCTTCGTAGGCCGAATGGAATTCGGCGAGTGACACCACAAGTCGCCGGAATTTCAGCGTTGCATAGCCCGGGTGGCTCGCGGTCCAGGGGCTGCGTCTCTTTCTCCTCTAGGCCCGGTCCACGACGCTTGTTACGCGCGTCCTCGCGATCGCTTTCGTTTCTGTATACGTGCCTGCGTGTTACATCGAGTCCGAATCGGGAGCTGGCAGCCCGATGTTCCAGTTCCCTCGGCTGCATTCGCCGCGCAAGTAGCGTGCCGCGCGTGCTGATACTTCAGCTTCTGTTTGCACTACTTTGGCCGAGCGGTATGCAGCCCGCGGGACCCTCCCTTTCCGTCTTCCCTTCGCGCCCGCCATCACCACGACTCACTACTTGCCTCATCTGCGAGCCGAGATCGGGACAGGAGTGTCTGGATCACGGCTTCGTGACTGGGACCTGCAATTTCGAGAACTTTAGGTGATTCGAGTTAAATTTTTAGGTAGAGGATCATCGCGAGTTACTAGTTACCAATCTGTATGCTGAGGTCGGGACAGAGAAGTCTGGATCACGGTTTCGTGGTTGAGATCTGCAATTTCGAGAATCTTGAGTGATTCGAGGTCAATTTTTAGTTAGAGGATCATAGCGAACTATTAGTTACCAATCTGAATGCTGAAGTCGGGACAGAGATGCCTAGATTACGGTTTCGTGACTGGGACCTGCAATTTCGAGAACTTTAGGTGATTCGAGTTAAATTTTTAGGTAGAGGATCATCGCGAGTTCTTAATTACCAATCTAGATGCCGAGATTGGGACAGAGATGCCTGTATCATGGATTCGTAACAGGAACGTGGAATTTCGAGAATGTTAGGTAATTCGATGTAAATTTTTAGTTAGAGGATCATCGCTAGTTATTAGTTACCAATCTGGATGCTGAGATCCAAATGGGAAAGTCTGGATCACTGTTTCCTGACAGGGACCTGCAATTTTGAGAACTTTAGATGTTTCGAGGTAAATTTTTAGTTAGAGGAACATAGCGAATTATCAGTTACCAATATGAGTGCTGAAGTAGGGACAGGGTGGTCTAAATCGTAGTTCCATGACTGGGACCTGCAATTTTAAGAACTTTAGATGATTCGAGGTAAATTTTTAGTTGAAAAATCATAGCGAATTATCAGTTACCAATATGAGTGCTGAAGTAGGGACAGGGTGGTCTAAATCGTAGTTCCATGACTGGGACCTGCAATTTTAAGAACTTTAGATGATTCGAGGTAAATTTTTAGTTGGAGAATCATAGCGAATTATTAGTTACCAATCTAAGTCCTCAGATCGGGACAGAGAAGTCTGGATCACGATTCCGTGACTGGAACCTGCATCCTCGAGAGTTTTGTATGAATCAGGACAAATCTTCAGATAGAGTATTACTATGTCTAATTAGATGTCCAATCTGAGTTTTAGAATAGGGACCGAGAGATCTGGATCGTAGTTCTATGACTGGAATGAAACTTTAAATGATTCGAGGTAAATGTTTAGTCAAAGGATAATCGTATTTGATTGATTACCAATCTGGATGCTGAGATAGGGACAGGAAAGTTTGGATCATGGTTTCGCAACTGGGTTCTGGGTTCTTCGGATCTCTAAATGACTTGAGCCAAATTTTCTATTATCATAAATAAATAGTTTATCACGTCTAGGAATTGATATTAAGGCAAGGAAGATTGGGTGTTGGTGTCTTGGCATCGTTTAGAGACTTAATGTAGCTTATCCAGAAGATCGACATTATTCTTTATCACGGTTTCGCGAATGGATTTCGTGTCAGAGTTTGAAAGAATGGACGTATGGAACTCTCTTTTCCGTTAAAGAAGTTATGATCTGCGAAAGTTCTGTGTACTGTCAGATATATTACACTTGACACAGTCTTGTTGACATAATAACAGATGTTAGGAGCTGTTAAGTTAACCTATGCGAATGGCCTATGCATGGAATCTCTTCCATATAATTTCTCTCGAGTATATATTAAGTATAGATGATTGATAATAGTTAACACTAGAACTACCGATCTTTAATGGGTACCTAATTAAAACGTGCAAAGATTATAGTAATTTCAGCAATACGATGAATACGAGTGAATATATCGATTACAGTTCTTTCTTAATACGAGTTGATACCAATTTTATTCTTAAAGCAGGTGTATGTGTTCGGTGATTGCAGAAAGGAAAATTCTGGGACCAGCCATATTGACTGCGTTGGTAGTTCGAGTTTTAATAATACTTCGCATGCAACAGTATTCGCAGCCCAATAAATTTTTCAAACGCTAACGAGTGGTACTACGAGTGGCAATTATTCTTCTCCTCGATGCTTAATTAAATATTTCTAGACGACTTCTACCACAACAAACGTTCGGACTTCCGCGAGTACTCGACACTATTTGAGTCGCATTGTTCTAGTCGCGTCACTATGCGCACTTAAAGTGCACCGTGTGCCGTGCATGCACGACTACGTGCAAATGCGTACGATGTTCCTTGACTCGTTGCCAATTCGAAGCGTGTGCGAAATGCACCATTGTGACTCATTCGTTCGTCGAAATTATAGCCGTCGCCATTTAGCCGATATTAATTATCCATCCCAATATATAAGCCGTTCACTGCACAAATCGGTTAACTCCGCTTTTTGAACAATCTTAAATTTAAATGTCAAAGCAGTTGGTATAGTCACAACCTTTTATATTTATAATAACTTTCCCTGGTAATTAAGATTAACATTATTAAACGACAAAAATTTTGTCGCTACTGAATAATAAATAATTTATTTCACAGGTCGCTTCGATTAACCCCGTACTCTAATGTAAATCGTTGCAATAATGCAACTCAAATGCACTAGCAAGCCACGAATGATAACGGTGAACTTTTTAGTGCCGTCTTATCAGAATTTAAGTAAAATTTAGTAAAATTTAAATTTATTACCTTTTTATATTTATATTTATATATATATAATTTTATATACCGTTAGATGAAAGTTACATTTGTATTTATGCATTCCACGATATTTATTTCGATTTAAATTATAAAGGGAATTTTAAAAAACAATATATATTATTTCATTGCATTTCTCCACTTTTTGTTTTATGGAGTTAATGAATTTGTGCAGTGAGCAGCTCATATGCACATCTCAAATAAAAAGTGCTCCTTTTAACACACATAAACGTATATTAATACGTTTGCAAGTGTTCAAAAACAGGACAAAAGTTATCGAAAAAGTAACCACTCTTACCCCTTTGGTAGTTCTAGTGAAAAGAATATTAATGAAGTATAACGTATTGATAACAAGATACAATAACAAAGTCACACACGAAGTATGTCTAAAATAAAACAAGCAAAATAACAATAAGGGAATCGTTGAAAGGAAAATCGAGATAAAATTAATTTTCCAAGAATAACATCGATGGTGTCCAAAAATTTTCCCCCAAACTCCACCATAGATATAATATATTAAAGGAATTGTCATTCGAAACACGTGTAGAATAAAATAACAGGGAATCGTTGAAAAGAAAATCGATAAAGAATTATTTAGTATTCCAAGAATAACATGAATGCTGTCCAAAAATTTTCTCTCGAACTTCATCGAAAACATAATAAAGAAATTGTCATTCGAAACACAAGTAAAATAAAATAGTGCAGAATATCGTTGAAAGGAAAATCGAGAAGAAGTTAATTAATATTTCAACAATAACTCCACCGGTGGCTAAAAATTTTCTCTCAAACTCCACCGTAGATATAAGAAAGAAATTGTCATTCGAAACTCGTGTAAAATAAAATAACAGGGAATCGTTGAAAAGAAAATCGATAAAGAATTAATTAATATTCCAAGAATAACATCAATGGTGGCGAAAAATTTTCTCTTCAACTTTATCATAGATATAATAAAGAAATTGTCATTCGAAACGCGTGTAAAATAAAATACCAGGGAATGATTGAAAAGAAAATCGAGAGAAAATTAATTAATATTCCAATAATAATTCCAATGGTCTCGGAAAATTTTCCCTCAATCCCCATTACTGACCCTCTATATTGAAACACCCCTTGATCGGAAAGAAGAAGCAACCATTGACTTATCTATCCGAATAAACAAATACTCAGGAAAGATCGGATGGCAGGAAGCTCTCGAAAAGCCGGGATTACCTGACTAAATGAAATCCAACTTGGAGGGCAGTCCGCTTAATAACAGAAATCTCGAGGGTGCCGATTTGGCTCACCCCATCGCGAGCGAAGAAAGGAACAAAAACCGCCAACTCCGTTCCGTGCTCGGCACCCATCCCCATTCCCGTCCTTCTCCGTTCGCCATCAATTATTATCGTCTTTCCACGGCTTCGTAGGGCTGACGCCGACATCGTAGGCGCCCCACGATTGGGCGTCGGAACGCTCGGCGTCGCCATGGCAACCGACCCCCTTCGACGAGGGTTGGCCAAAGGTGGGGACGAATAACTCGCGAAAACACGTAAATTAAACGCACTATGGGGGTTGATGGGGCGGAATGGGGCCGAGTGGGTGTCTCAGACCGTGAAACATAGCCGTCATAAGCGGATATTAAAGAGCGCTTCCGGGGCAAGGGACGACCGTCCCGGACTGCTCGTAAACGCTTCACGGAAAAATCCTCGCTTTTCCTTTAAGACGGATCCGATTCGTCGGCTGAAAACCTCGTTTCCAGTGTAAATGAAATTGCTTCCTACGGCACAGTTGTTGGCGACGCGTCGCAACGGCCGGTTTGTCAATTAACGGAGGGAACGTGCTTCCCTGCACCGGTCTCCGTGTCTGCGGATTCTCTTTCTTTCCTCTTTAACCCTTTTACCGTGGCCTGTTTCTTTGGTAACAGCTTCGTTCTAGATATTCCTCGTTTCCCTTTCTTTCTGCTTCTAAACGTTCGAACATATCTACCGTTTCTTCTTAATATTCAGTTGACGTTGCCGTAACAGCCATCTTCGACTTGGATTTATTTTTGCGATAATTGCACGACGATTTTGAAGAAAAAGATTTTGCTCTGAATACGGTAGACATCGAACCAAAGAATTACGAGATATGTGAGATTTAATTGTAATACGTAAAGTGGCGAAATAATAGTACACCCCTACTTGGAATTTCATTAAATGGAGCTGATTTTAAGGTGATAATTATATTCGGGTAAAGAAAATATCGTATTTAAAGTAGCAGCCATCTTTTCTGGCAATAACTATCTTGATGAGCTGTTAGCATTTTGCGTGGAAGCTAGATAGTTACAGGTAACGTGTGATTATATGTATTTAACGCTAGGTTTACGGACGCTATCTGTATACCTATTTCTACATATTCGACACCTGTCAAATTGACAGGTAAAGGAAACGAAGGAAACTTTTTTTAACGATTAGTTTAATTTAAAAACATTTGCAATATGAACAGTCTTAATATAAGTGAACTAAATCTGCTACCATTGTATAATTGGAGCAACCCATCCGTCAAATTGACGAGTTCCATAAATCTAGTGTTAATAGATCAAGATTACCGATATAATCAAATATGTAATTGTTTCGTGCTAAAAAGTAAATAATAATTCTCTATTGCGAAAATGCCAATACGATGTACAGGGTGATCACTAAAAAACTGAATGATATAAAATAAAAATAAGTTTTATAAACTATTACTTTATTTGGATCACTTTCAGTATTATGTATGAAGAACAACATCCCTCAAATTACTATCATTTTTCTGCTCCCAGAAACAGAAAATAAAATAGATCAAAAATGAACGAGTTATGACTCTGTCAAACCCTTAAGATTTTCAGCGATCACCCTGTGAAATTTATTCTTTCTTCCACTCTAAAACCGTGGAAGCAAGAATAATTCGGAAAAATGAGACATTTAAATTTACGTAAATACAATATTTCTAAATCTACTAGTCTCTCCCTTTCCCAACGGCGCAACAAAAATCTTTTACTCGAATCTTCGTCAAAGCCGCCATTGCAGCGTGCACCATACCAATTCACCTAATTCGATCGTACGACCCAGTCAGAGGTGAGAGAAGAAAGGGGATATGAAAAGGAAGAAGACGAAGAACCGATACAAAGAATACTCAGGGGTAAAAAGGGAGAAGGACCCGGGAGACGAGCAGAAGCGTTCCGAACTCGCGCTACAACTTTCCCTATATGCGTTATTTCGTTTGACCGCCAGTTTTTCTGCGTATTGCGCGCGCCTCTACGCCGAGGTATGAAACCGCGCCAATTACCTTGTCAATTACCTCGATTGATGGCCGCCGCCATATTGATTTCACAAGCAATCAGAGGTCGCGCCGCGTTTTCCTAGTAGATCCGCGACGGATGCGAGCGCGGCCGCGCGCATGCGCGCGATCACCCGGCTCGGAGTGAGCAATAATTCTTGCTTTTGCCATCGGATGCCGAAGACGCCTGCTATCGAACCGATCGGACCA